ACTGTGCCCAGCCTGAAATGGCAATTTCTGAAGCAACATAACCTCTGTTTCTCAAGAACATTTCCAACCTTCTCTGCGCGGCTCCCTATGGCACGAGGAAGAAAACACAAGCAGCACACACAGACTCTGCATGAAACCTCAGAGAAGAGGAAAGATTGGCAGAGTTTCCAACATTCCCTTTGGCCCAGGGCAGGATGTGCCCTGTTTGTACACATGCTAATCCCCATTTCTTATCAGCTGCACCTTGTCCTGGAGTGGTGGGGAACCTAAGAGAAGTAACAGATACAGCCTGTGTCCTCAAGAAGATTACAATCTCTCTGGGCAGAGTCATTAGATGACCTGGTATGACAAGGACCAAAGAGTCGAAGAAAGGCTCATGGAAGCGGAATACTTGGGCTGAGCCTTGACTGATGAGTACGAATTGGAATGGCAGAGAGAGGAGAGCACTCCACCTGCACTGCCTAACATCATGCCTTGCAAACTTCTGCATTGTGTATGTTATTTTTTTTTTTTCCAAATGATGCCTGGAAAAATGTATACCCATGTTTTCTTTGACATTGAAGGAAACATTTTTGCAATAATGAAGAAATAAAAATCTAACTCCTAATTAAATGGTACAATGCTCACCATTTCATGCACCCCAGCATGTGGCCTCTTGTGTAAGAATATATACCAATCACACTTAGTCTTTGTTGCATGTGTGTATGGGGGCAGGAGAGAGGGAAGCAGGGAGTAGTGAACCAAAAGGCCTAGAGCTGCCACAGACCAACTATTATTTTTCTCCTTCTACCATTAAAAAAACCATATTTTAAACATGAACTTCAATATTGAGATAAACTGTGTAGGTTGCATGTACTTCTACCCCAAATGCTTGGCTTTAGAGGAATGGCACTTTTGCTTAATGTCTTTTCCCTTTATCCTCTATTACCAGTAGGTAACTAGCTGGCTACACATATCCATTTGTGTCCATTGTGAATGACTGTGAAGTGGTAAGCCGGGGACAGGAGTACTCACATGAGGAGTGGTCCAAGGGAGGAGAGGAAGCTGGGGTCCTGGAGAAATGCAGCAAGGAGAGATCTGGTCCCAAGGAATTTCTCTTCCTGGAGAGTGTGGTTGGTTCTCTGGTCTCCAAGGCAGGAAGAGGGGACTGGCTCAAAACTGAGGTGGTAGCCATTTGGGTGTGCACAGTGACTTCTTCTGAGAGCCCTGTGCCCCTCTCCAGTGAGCCCTGGGATGGTCCACTCTTCGTGTGAAAAGGGGCAGTTCTTCCTTCGGACCCTGAGCTACTGGCTGGCAGGTGATGCCTTTCTGAGGCTGAAAGCAGACAGCAACAATTAAAATTCCACCAGCAGACCTCAAAATGTCTTAATGTGCTTTTAGTGGGCTCAACTTTGACTTCTATAAAATATAGAGACATAAGAAGAAATTAGGAGCAGTAAGTCATTCTATGAAAAATGAACTCCTGAAAGAGGGACCACAAACCAAGACAAATACCATGTTCAGATCTCAAAAAGACTTTTCATTTTGTGGTATAATTAACAGGAAAGAGCACATTGGTGCTAAGTATCAGACAACACAGAATCAGAGATCAGTGTCTGACCATCATGATCCATCACCCACATCCCACAAAGCTGGTCCCAGAATTTATTTGAATTCAACAAAAAATTCCCAACATCTGGATGACCAATAAAACCAGGCAACAGCACATGCAGTTTCTAAGCTCTGTAGCCGTCATTCATGAATGCAATACAAAATACTTTCATATGTATCCTTTACAGAATTGAGTCCCCCAACCAGGCCTCCCGTCACTAGGACACGAAACCACAGAGTCATCTTTGACCACTTCATCCTCTACTCTCAGGCCATCACCACGTCCTGTCCACTTTCCTTAGTGAAGTTTCATTACCAGTCCCTTCCCCTCCATCCCTGTGGTTGCCAGGCTATACCTCAACACCTGCTGTCTGGATTTCTGTGTCTGCCTGAGTGGTCCCCTGACTCCCAGTTGCCTCCATCCTCCCACCCCATACAGACATCTTGTACCTGCCTGCCAGGAAGATCCTCTCCAAATTCATGTTAGTCATGTCACTCCCTTGTTCAAAACCTTGAGTGACTCTTCCCACTGCACTAGATCTAAACTGCCTGGTTTCCAAAGTTCTCCATGACTGTCCCTAACCCCATCCACACAACTGTCCTACCTCCTCCTCCCCTCCTCTGTGGGCAACTTATGCCCTCTGCAAGGGAGGCTGCTGGCCTTGCCACCCACAGAGGCCACACTTGTCTTTCTCTTCTCTACCTTCACGCACATTGTCCAGGCATTCCAATCTTCAGCTGCCTCTGCCACCTCGCTCAGATACACAGATGTAGGCTTTAATCCCAGCTATGAAATCTGCTAACTGTTTGACCTACACACGTTGCGTTAATTAACTTCTCTGAGCTTCTGCTTCCAAATTTCTAAAATGAGGATAACATGAATTCGTGGGCTTGCATAAGGATTGAGAGGACAGACTTGGGAATATGTAGTAGGTACCTAATCAGTGCTAGTTTTCTTTGTCTTCTCTTCCTTAATCAAATCTTATCCATCAAGCCCCAACCCCTTCTTGAAATTCTTTGTTAAAAATAGCAAACCACCAAGCTGTGCTGACCAGAGCAAGAACAAGCATTTGAGCCACATCAACACAAACAAACCCCAAGCCTGGTTTCTTTCCCAGCTATGGATCCCACCAGATCTGGTGCCTCTGAGATGGCAGCGTGTGGCAGGATCCCGGGGGAGGGGGAGGTTCGGATTCGGACTGGCCATGGATCATAGATGCTGCAGGATCGGCCTGGCCGCTCAGCAAATCTGCACTCTCCTCTGGGCTGTACTTACAAGCATGTCACAGATGGGGCCTAAGTCACAGGTCTGACCCACCACGCCCAGGACGCCTGGATGGACACAATGACTTGGAGTTGGGGGGAGGAGGAATGGCAGAAATTTTGTTTTCCAGGACTGAACATACTTGAATGAAATGAGCATCACCAGCACAAACTCACCTAAGGTGTTGCTCTGCGAAGTCAGGGCCGTTGCCATCTCAGGCAAGTGCCCCACACGTGAAGTGGTGAAGTTTATTCTACTTGAAGAGTCATTTCTTCCTCCAGTATCTGGTGTTTCAGTTCGTAGAGTGAGGTTTTCTGGGGCATCCGAAGAAGCATGGCTCTTCCTGGAGGTCCAAATCATAACGCCCTCTTTGGAGGCCATTGTTGAAGAGTCCTTTTGATTCTGATAGAAGGTGATGTTTTCTGTGTGGGGTTCAGTGTTGCTTTCTGGCCAATGGTTCCTTACAGTGGCTGAAATAAGAAGAAAATGCACCAGGGAAAAAAGAAAAGTAAGCCTTCAGAAAAGACACCATGAGATGTATCACTAGAGAGTGGATTCAAGTAAAATAATTTCATCTTTCTTTTTTTTCCTACATTAATTATCCTTATAATCCAATGGAAGAAACTATGAAACAACAACACAATCTAGGATTAAATTTTAGTGTGTGGAATAAATGATGAAAATCCACTGAAAGAGACCAACATGGGGCTGAAGGAGGAAGATGTGAAACGCTGGCATCTGGGCAGGCTCGGAGAGGGGCGTGGAGGAGGAAGGTCAGGTGTGAGCAGAGGGCAGGGGGCTCCTCCTAGGTGCCAAAGTTGTGAACTGTGTCTTCTGTGGAGCAGGAAGGCAAAAGCTGGCTGCCCCTAATCCTGACACTTACTCTTGCAGGCAGGAGGTGGAGCATGCTCAATTAGGATAAAACGTGAAGGATTTGGCAATGTTACTAAAACTTTTCTAATATAAATAGGTTTGAGGCAGTAATTTCATCTTCTTCGAATTTATCTGAAGGAAATATTCAAGACTGTGGACAAATATTTAGCTGCACAGATGTTCATTACAGCATTGTTTACAATAGCAGAAGGAAAGAAGGATGGACGAACAAACTTAAAAATCCTACAGCAGGATATTAATTAAGTCAGTTACAGTATACGGTATCCACATGAAAGGACACTATGTGGTCATTAAAATGATGCTATAAAATAAATCTATTCTACAGATATTATCGAATTAAAACAGCAGGCTTCAAAATAGAGTTTAGATTTAATGATCTTATTTTGTGAAAAAAATGAATAATAATAATAGCAAGCTGTGCATGGTGGTACATGCCTGTAGTCCCAGCTACTCAGAACACTGAGGTGGGAAGAGTGTATGAGCCCAGGAGTTCAAGATCAGCCTGGGCAATATAGCAAGACCCCATCTCTAAAAACAATACAATCTTTAAAAGAATAATAATAGCAAACATGTATGTATGTATGTGTATGTGCCAACACTGAGGTAAGCACCTGACGTGTATTCATTTAATCCATGCACAAAATCGGAGCTAGGTGCTCTTATTCTCCCTATTTTAAATAGGAAGCAAAGGAGGTATGGAAGGTGGGGGGAGGTCATGTACCTTGCCCAAGTCACAAGGTCAAAAAGTAGGAGGCCCGGACTCCACCAAGCAGTCTGCTCCAAACCCAAGCCCCTCCCTCTCAGCTGTGCTCAGCTGAGCAGATTAAACGTGGGAGAGGAGTGTTATTTCCAGTTCAGGGGTGCTGAGGAAATGCTGTTCTTCAGTATGGACTGTTAACTTGAAGTGTATAAACAGGAACGTGTTTATATTAGTCAGAAAATATATTTAAATGACAATTTACTTCCATAACATCCAAGATGATGGCAAAGAGGGTATCAGTTAAAAACATTCTGAGGATGAAGTTAAATTTGGGATAAAACTGGACGCTTAGGAAATCATCTATAATGTCACTTGTCAAGGCAGGAGATTCAGAGTTAGAGCAGGTGGGTGGGACGCCCCAAATCCAACCCAAGAAAGCCGCCCTGTTACTCTGGAGAAGTCTGCACACAGCCTGGCCACAAGCTGGAAGCCAAAGCTAGGCCCCCGGGCCCTGCAAGATAACACCGAAATCCAAACAGCATTCTACAGACACGGTCCTTTCCCTGCACATCCACACTAAGATGGAAGCAAATATGAAACACGTGTGCTAATTGAGCGGCACTGAGTTTAATGAGTTCCCAGGGAGAGCAAGGATGAGGACAAGGACAATTTGAAGTTACAGCTGATTACATGAAAAAACCATTTTTACTGTCCCCATTTGGGAATGATACTTCTCTTCCTGCTTAGGATTAGGGGCTATGGGCACTGTTGAGAAACCTCTGTGGGGATGAATGAAATCATTTCTATTTATATGAGTCAGGCAAAAATGGCAAACCATCTGACAAGAGGAGGCTGCAGGCAGACCCTACAGTTTATATCCAAATATCTCTCTTTCTCTCTCTCTCTCTCTCTCTGTCACACACACACACACACACACACACACACACACACACACACATGGAACAAGTTATCTTTTAGATCAATGCTGCCTAAGAAGTAAAGTGAGTCACAAACACAATCCACAAATGTAACTTTCAAATTTTCTAGTAGCCACATTTTTAAAATTAAAAAAGGTGACATTAACCTTAATAAATATTTTACTTAATTCAATATCTCTAAAATATTATCATTTCAATAGGTGATTGATATAAAAATATGAGATATTTTCTATTCTTTTTTGGTATTAAATCTTTAAAATCCAGTGAGTATTAGCCACATTTCAAGAGCTGTGTGAGCACACGTGGCTAGTGGCTATCTCACCAGGCCTTGCAGGTATGTGTCAATGGGTCTGAACATTTCCCCACTCTGGCCCACTCCTAACAGAAGCAGTGGCTGACTTATCTGGGGTTCAGGGTGGCGGTGATTATAAAAACTTCCATAAGAGATTCCGACAAACTTTCCTAAGGGAATCATTTCCTCCCCTAATCCCTTGAGAATTGCTGTTTTTATGCCCCCTATTCTGTTATCTGTGGGTGATAATTAACAGAGACTTCCTGGAGGGGGAGGGAAGTGGCCCAGGCATCTGGGCTCCTCCCAGCCCCAGGCCCAGACAGGCAAGGCCCACACTCAGCTAGAAATGGGATGTGCACGGGCGTTTCCAGGGGCAGCCACAAAGTCCCTTTGTTCGACTTGGGACCCTGAGGTTATAGACAGCAGTGACCCGTAAGGTATGCTCCCCTTCTTCCTTCCTCGATGAGCTGCAAAGGCAAGCTGGCCTCCTCCTGGGAGGAGGTGAAAAGGTTTGAGGATGCTTTCTCTATCCTCTTGGTTAACTGGGCACAATGAGAGAAATCATTCTCAAAGGAAGCCCAAAAAAAGTGATTGTAGGGAGGTAGACAGGACTCAAAACCCATGCACCACGCTGGCAAGCCATGAGCAAAGGGAAGGTAATGAACTTAGCTCTATTGTAGCCTTAAGATGAGGGTGGGACTCAGCCGTTGGTGAGAATGGCTGGGCCTTTCAAGAAGCAGCAATGTCCCTTTCTTCAGGGAAGAGGAGTGCAAGTCCCAGACCCCAGTTAGCTCCAGGAATTCCACTGCAGTCTCTCAGAGGAAAATATGGCCACATACAGACAGGACATGGCTTACAGTGGACAATGTTCTGTCCTTGGAGGGTTGACTAAAGATGTAAGAAAGAAAAAATGCACCCTATAAAGAAAACTAAAAGGCAGACAATAGTCCTGCAGTATCCTCAATAACCCTGCCACTATAAACAACTAAAGATGCTGAATAAAGTATTTTTTTTTAAAAAAATTCTAAATGCATTGCTGAGCTGGCAAGTAAGTATAGAATCAAGTCTTCTGAGGCCAAAAATGAACCATGAGCAGGAATTCAGAGAGTGAGCTAATGCTGAAGCTAGCAGCTGCCCTGGGGGCACTTGTTCAGCATTTGTGACCTTGAACTTCTGTTGTGATGGCCACAGAGATGCAGGAGATGGGAAAAAAAACTCTCAAGGAGGGAATCCAAAAGGAAAGCACTGTGTAGAGCCGGGACCCCAAAGGACTATGCCCTGGACTTAAAGCAAATGGAAACAAACCTGCCCCACAGAAGGAAACCTAGCCCTTTAATCTTGGTTTTAGGTGAAAGAAAAAATAAATCTCACTGAAGATTTGTAACCATAAAGCTAGCCCTCATTTGGTTGTGCAGGACAAATTCACATTACCTATATCTTCTAAACCTCAAGCTGAGGATGTATTTAACAGTGGTCCTGAACCTCGCAAATATACTAAAAACCACTGAATTATACACTTTAAAAGAGTGAACTTTATAGTGTGTAAATTATATCTCAAATATACACACACATCCTATTAATGATGGGGGGAGAGGAGAGGTGGTCCAGATGAATAGTGCCCCCAAGTGCCTGGTGGAAACATACAAATGTTCTCTAGATGAACATACCTTCAACCCAAATTTTATCATTTATCGATAAAATTCTAAGGAATAAGAGACCACAGTCAAAAATCACAAAATATATAAGGAAACATGGCATTCATGGGCAGAAGTCAGCAAATTAGACAAGCAAAGACTTCAAATACTGGAATTATCAGACAAAGAATGTAAGTGTATAAAACTACATTAGAAGAAATAAGAGAAAAAGAGACTATAAATCATGACCAAAATATTTTAAAGAAACCTAAATGGAAATTCTAGAAATGAAAAAAATGTGATAATTGAAATTATGAAATCCAACAGAAGATTAGACACGGCTGAAGTGAGAATTAGGAATTAGAAAACAGATAACAAGAGAATGCCCAAAATGAGATTAAGAAAAAAATATGAAAAAGAGTTTAAGAGACAAGGAAGATAGAGGGAGAAAGTCCAACACATACCTAATTGGAACTCTATGAGAAGAGATAGAAAGGAGAAGTGGCAATATTCAAAAAGGAAAAGACTGAGAATTTTCCAGAACTGATAAAAAACATGAATCTTCAGGCCAAGAAAGCTCATCATATCCTTTTATTTATCCTAAATAAAAAAGAAATATATACCCATATCATAGTGAAACTGCAGAAAACCACAGACTAAGACTAGGTCTTAAAAGCGACCGGAGGGGGGAAAAATGACAAATCATCTAAAGAAGAAGACAATTAGATTGACAGCTGATTTCTCAATGCAACAACGGAAGCCAAAAGACAGTGGGTAAGTGTTTTCAATTAGCTGAGAAAACTGGAATTGCATACTCAGCAAAACTATCTTTCTAAAACATCTTGAGACTATCAAACAAAAACATTTTCAGCAAAAATTGAGTTTATCATCCACCTCCACTAAAGAAAACTATAGCAAATTTATTTCAAACAGAAGAAAAACAATCCTAGATGAAAGATATCAGATACAAGAAGACATGAGGAAACAAAAGGTAAATATGTGAATAAATCCA